GCACACACACTCCTGAGCTAAGTATGTCTTAAGCTAAATAAATTTAGACAATGAAAAATCTTCTATTGTCTAAAGCTCACTCTTGGTAAACTAATGATCGTCAAATCTTAGAGATCAAATTAGTGGTCATCAATCAGTCAATGCAAAGTTGTTGAAAATTAGACACACAGTTTTCTGGTATGTTCACTTCAATCTCTTGAGACGCGTTGTTACTGCTTGGGGGCAGCAAAGTATCCAAATGGTCAAACAGTTCTTGATGGTGGTCTAATTTCCTCAGCCAGAGTTCTGGAAATTGATAGTTCATCATTATAGTGAGAATAATGATAAATAAACGGAAATAATTTTACCATGGAGCTCGATTATTGATCTACACTCTCCACCATATTCTTGAGGTAAAATTTCTTTGGAAAAGTGTTTTTGCAAACTCTCCAAGTCTTTGTGAACATGGAGCTGTAATTATCAGAAAATATTTTGTCATTTCTAGAAAGTTCTAGCAAGAAACAGCCGGAAAATACAATTCAAGAGACTTACTCTTTTCCTCATTTTTTCCTTTAACAATGTTTTCATCAGATTTACTATAACCTGCATGGAACTGGGTAGGTTGATATAATGAATTCCTTCCAAGCGAGTCGAAAACACTTTCTGAAACCAAGAAAAATACATTTACAACTTCCGTAGATTTGAAATAGATAGAACACACACTGCCAATGTTATCTAAATAGAATTTGTCATTTAATTAAATGAACACTAGCTAAGTTGAATTTTTAAAAGTTATTATGATTTCTAAAAATGAGAACTTTACATATACTCGTACATTTTATTAACACTGCGAAACGATTATGGTATATAATATTGCTTTATTTCTTTCATATTTGCGCCAAAAAAGCCAATTTTATTTGCCGGACAATGCAAGTCCTAATTGTCAACTTGAAGAAAAGATAATCAGCCTTCTGCAACGACCTAATTACAAAACAATTTATAGGGTTGCAAACCCATGAAAATCTGCTGTAATTTACGATTTTAAACATTGTTCTAAGGCTAATTTCCATATGTTTTATTATGAGCGTTGTGAAATTTGTCCAATTTTCGAAAACACAAATTACCTCAAGTATTGTTGCTGAATTTCGCAATAATCCCAGTCGCATCTTCATCAAATGTTTTGCCTGACAACCTTCCATATCGTAAATAATAGAGTCGGTAAGCAGCACATCTTCCCTTATTCGAATCTCCACAATATTGTATGTGTGGGCAAAAAAATTGAGGGGTTTGAATTTCACGGGATCAAAATCCTTCAGTTTTATAAGAGTTACTCGGCTCAAGGACGGCGTTAATTTCGGCAAAGGTATAACATATCTGAAAGCAGCAAATCTTAGTTGTATTAGTAATTTTTATTTTTTTTTGCTTCACTTACACAGTATTAGCGATGTCCTTCATGTGATCAAACTTGGGATTTTTATTCACATACATATCGGGAATCTCGTTCCGGATGGTGTAATAATTGCATAGTTTTTCTTTGCATTTTTCTAAGTTGAATTTATTCACTATTAGGAATAGCTCAAGAACAGAATCACCTGAAAAATTACAACTGATGTACTTTCGATAATTGCAGAATGATTGGTTAAACGAAATATAATTTATTGTTTCATTTGAAGTTAATTTTTCATCAGTTTTTCTCAACCAATCGTGGATTGTATTACGTTAATTTTTTTAGAAATTTTGGTTATGTACTATTCTATACGTTTTATCACAAGCAGGCGCGTTATGCATTTTCGGATGTATTGAGCAATAAACTCCCAAACACATAAGCTATCATTTCTAAATACAAAAATTAAATTTTACAGTGTATATAAACTAAAAAAATGTCCAAATGAGGATCTGCGATAGTGGATTAAAGGTAATTCCAGTGGAAGAACTTGGGATTGATTGAAATGTTTGTAAAATATTTCTACACTATTTTCATTGTCATGAGGAGAACTTTTCACTATTTTTTCGTCCAAATATTCCATTTTTCTTCCGACTGCTGGAATTATGGCATTTTTTATGACCCATCGTTAGACATAAAAACACGTACAGCACTTTTTCATTCATTAAAAAAAATATCAACTTTTGTGTCTGCATTTACGTCCTTTTGGTTAAGCTACCTTATATTTGATCACCATATTTGCTAGGACCATTAAACGAATTATAGGAACATTTTCAAAAGTATTCAATATTTGTTGGTGAGCACTAACCCGTTGTAATGTAAAATTTCTAAAATTAATGCAATCTTTTCTGGTTTCCAATAACTTTCGTTTACTGTGGTAATGGTGTGCTTAATTACGCCAAAGAACTCTAACGATGATTGGCTGCTAATTATTATAGTCTGATTAATGTTTTGCCTTATTTCGTTGATTATTTTAGCTTTTTGTCAGATTTAACTTTCTAATGTAGCTTGCGAAATGAATCCTTCCTAAACTTTGTGAAAAATATGTTTTGATATTGCTTGTAATTTTAAAACCAGATGTTTTCAGAAACTGTTTTCATGCGTTTATAAAGCTTCTATGAGAAATTTGAAATCAATAGTGAAACGAAGCAACTTAGAAATTCAGTAAAATGTAGAAAACAAAGGCAGGTTGTTTACCTGAGTTCATTAGCTTCTAATAGAAAATCCAATTAACCAGTCACCTTTTCCACTTAGACGATTCCTGTAGTTTTATTAGTTTCCGAAAGAGCATTGAGACACGCCAAGAAATATAAATCTGGCTTTACATTTTACAGTAGCTTTGGAGCGGTAGCCTTCCAATTTTCATAAATATCGAAACAAAATCAGTTTACTTACATGGAACTTCTGGTAAATGCGTCTGATACTGGAACCAATTTTTCAACAGCTGTTTGTCATTTTCAATATCATCTGCACTTTTGCCCAACTTTTCCAACACTGCACTTCGAACTTCTTCCTTGTTCGTATGAAGCAAATTATTGAAATTCATTTTTATTTTAATCGCCGACCGAATAATTAAATTTCACTGGCAAAAGTTCGCGTTCGGCATTGCGAATCGACGTGGTTTATTGAAAACGGTGTCAAATGTTTAAAGTTGCAAACACCACGATAAAAACGTTTGTTGCAAGTCTTGTGCAATTATATAGTTCGTCGGCTCGAAGCAAAAATATCACGGTTTTACTTGAAATGTGGGATCGTAAAGACCCGCATAGTTATAGGATCGACTTAGAAGCCAGTATTTCTAGCTAATTATTGATGAACGGTTTTCAATGCTCATTTATTTTTAATTATTATTGTACATTAATATAACTGCCATGCCAAATTGTCCAGCAGCCAATTCCATGTCAGTATTGGAGCTGGCAGGAGTGATAACTTATATAGGAATAGAAATTTTTACTAATCATTGAATTGCATATTTATAGCTAGGTGCTTTAGGCAATTATAATTAATGCGCTATTCGTAATTATATAGCTAAATTATTAGATAGTGGGTACGATAATACAATAATAAAAAAAACTATATCTAATGTATTCTGGTAATTTATACAATAAGCCGCTAACACTAACTGAGCTAAGTCTAATCTTTTAGCATAATCTTGATAATAAAGATTTGTAAAATAGGTTCTGGCCTATAACATTTTATATCTACGTTGTCTACCTTGACCGGTGAACTATCGGGGTCAAGTGATACTCATTTTTTGCTACAATTTTCAATGTGAACACCCTTTATTATTTAAATGTTGTCTAGATAAATGTATTACATAACTAAAAAAACAAAACACATAAAGGTCGACCAGCTTCAAACAAGGATCTGCATTGGAGGTCTTTGTTTTGTAGTGTAGTCGCGCAAATATAAATATATATATTAAATTATCATCTACACTAGTAAAAATTTAAGTTGTGATTCATATTTAATTGTGTCTGTTACACTGAACTTGTTGAACGAAGAGCTGTTTTAACAAAGAATTGAAGCTTACCCGAATTATTTGAGTCAGATAAAGTAGTGCCATAAAGGCCTGTATTCAAACAAAACCAAATTAAGCCTCATATTCAAGGTGTATTCAGAAACCTACCTTCTATCTCCCCTAAGTTCCTTACTCACACGAAACGCACGACTTGTGTATACCGACGTTTATTGATTAAATTATTGACTACAGACTTAAAAACGTTTCTTACTCGCTAAAAAAGTTTCTTATTCAAAGTTACAGCTCTTGGTCTTACTTTGTTCGTTAACGGCATGCTTTGGCCGCGCAAGTGGCCTAATAAACATGTATCTAATCTAACTGAATTTTTTTGAAATTTCCGTAGTACCCCAATATTTCATCATTTTTCAATTTAGCTGGCCTCAATGATTCATCAACTGTCAACTTTTCTAACTTATCAAACACATCCTTTTTCGTTTCGTAATATTCTATCAATAAATCTGAAAATATACAAAATAGCTGCTGATTTATTTCTTCTTATTTATATAGTCGAATACTGTTTAGTAATTGATGATTTTTCATTTGCATCAATTCATTTAAATTATTGTCTTATATCTAGATTTCAAAACACATGTATTTGCCACAATGTATTAAAATTTCCCGAAACTTATCTGAAAAAGTGAGCTAAAATTGTAAAACGAGGGGTTGGTTTTAGTTGGATTAGTTTCTGTGGCAACTTTAAAAAAGCATCATAGTTTTTCAAATTTTTGTGCTATTATTTGTCGCTTTTGTCTTATAAATTTACTCGTGTAGGTCCGCTTTAGTTTAAGTTTATGATGCTACGTTTATTATAATAAGTTTTGCGGTGCTCTCTGGTATCCGTGTAATTATTTTAAATAAGTTTGTATTTGTATGATTTTATACGATTACATACCATTCATTTCTGAGAGTGATTTCAAGTCTCCTCCTGCATCTCTGGGTAAACGCTCTTT